TCACCCTTAAGGTAAGCTACGAGCCCCTCGGTGGTGACATATAGTGAGCTGATGATGAGATGAGATTGCTATTTTGGGAGCGGTAACTAACTTTAGTAGCTTTCATTCTAAACAAGTAGCCAGACTTCGAACGAAATACAAATCGTATTTACCTAACGCATTTTGTTTAACTTACTACCGCTATTTTGAAATAATTCCGAGACAATCCATACCAGATTGTATTTTAATAAAAGTACATATATTTCAATTGTTAATCACGTTTTAATTTAAAAGCCATTAAATTTTTTTTAGAAACAAAATACATGCAATTAAAATAAAAATAAAACAAGACACTATATGCTCAATTATTTTAATTGCCAAATACAAAACTAATTGTTCTGTTTAGCTTCTTTCGCATTTTGTAGTGCTTGTGTCAGATACAGCTTGGCTAAGCTTTGGGAGCAGAACTGGCTTATATGTTGACTGTAAGTGTTGATCTGTCCTGCGACAATCATTGGGTTCAGCCTAGGCGGTACTGGGTGCGGCTTGAAGAGTTTATTAACATCTTCTTCAGGTAGAGGTGGCTCATCTTTAGCAGCACGAGCAGAGTTCTCTTGAGCCCTCTTGAGCAGCCACCTGTGCTTGTCTTGCTGTTGACGGACAACCAATTGCTGGTAACGATTGAATTTAATCGCCTCTTGATTTAATTCATCTACGCGTTCCATTAAGCTGCGAAGTTGACCTGGAATTTTAAGTGTGATTTACATTTTATTCATTCATCATCAGCTGACTATACATCCCCACCAAGGGGCTCAGTGCCTACCCTAAGTTAGGGGTGACTAGGTCATAGCCAACCACGCTAGCCCTGTGTGGGTTCGTTGACTTCACACATTCTTTATATTTCTTCTCAGATATGTGCAGATTGCATCACAATGTTTTCCTTCACCGTAATTGCATAAGTTCACTCCATTTTAAATTCCCGTTTTTATGCACTATTTTGGTAAAAACAATATACCCCTATACCACTGACTAAGGTAGATGTAATAACTCTATGCAAACCACATACCTTCCAGCACTGATGCAGTGCCTAGATCCAAGAACTTTGAGCCCTCCTCCTCTGGAATCATCTCTGACAGTTCTGACATCATAATATTTGTCAACGGTGAGTTACGAATGACAATAGGCACTTCAATGAACAGGCTTTCATAGCCTATCTTCAAGTTACGAAGAGCATCTGGGGTGTAGTCACCATCCTTGTACATAGCTATAGCCTGGAATTGAAAAACATATATTTATCAAATGCAACGAACAGAAGAAATTACTATTTACTATGGTCAAGACTTAACTAGACCTTAGACTTAGACTATGTACAGTCAGCGTCATATAGATCGTCACGTCATAAGTAACGAAGCAGTCAAGGTGCTCAAAAATATCGGTACATTTGACAAAATTGAACTCTATCTCTATATACTTGTGATACAATTTGGAATAAACTACTTCTGTTACATTCATTTGACACTTTGTATTAACATTATAGGTTGTCCGGAAAGTTCGTTCTGATTTTCGATATGAAGCTTACAATAGACTGTAGCTGAAGTGGATTCATTTTCGGATTTCCACCATTATCAAACGTCACAAAAATTTCTATATTGTGAATAATTTCATTTCATTGGTTGAGATAAAAACTAATTTTTAAAATTTTATCCAATAATAAAAAACGTTTTAGGTATAGAGTCGTACCAATATAATTTAAAAACATTTCCAAAAATTTAAGGGAACAGGGTTTCAATTTTCCTTATAAAGCGGCACGAACTTACTGGGCAACCCAATATTTTTCTTCTCCTGTCATAACGCTTAAATATAAAAGTTTGTCACGCCGAATATGACAGATACGTATTAACTAATATCAAATTTTGCCTTGTCACAATATATATAATACTAGTTTGGCGCAGTATTCTAGTATGTTTGCCGTAATATGTAAGTTTACCGGTTCGAATCTCAGGCTACTTTTTTTCATTTTATCAATCACGGGGTTATTTTTTCATAACCAGTAAAAAATTGGTAATATAAAATTTTGCTCGACAATTTTTTTTTTATAACTTTCGCTGTCGGGTAAAAAAAAATTTAAATAAAGTTAACAACAATTAGGTCAGACCATCGCGGATGAAGTGAGTAGACGGAGCGTGGATTGTCTTTGCGGGTTTTAAGAATGGTACGCGCGGAAACTATACGTACAAGTGTTACCTACATATGTGTGCGCGCCCACGCACACTGGAATGTTTATTGCAAACAATTCGACCAAAAATTTGATGTAGTTTGGATATTGACATTCAGTTTTTTTTCTTTATTTCTTAAATATAATCAGTTTCAGTAAAAGGTAAAAGTAAAAGTGTTATTTTTACCGGTACAAGTTTAACAAACATGAGTAATAAACAAATTACATGCCAATAGCATCGCTTTATCTCCTTCATTTTTGTTTGAAATAGAAAAGTACTTTAACGGTCAAACTCATTAGTCCAAGGCAATATCAAAAAGTACCTAATAACTACGGCGATAGAGTTTAATTACATGTGCTTCGATATTAAAATTAAAAAGTTTAAATATAAAAAAAAATAGTGGCTTGGGATTTGAACCGCCGACCTTACGTACCAACGGCGGCGAACGGTAAGGCCACGAGACCAAACTAGAATATATGATGACAAACTTAAATTTGATGTTGGTTTTATCTACCTAATATCTGTCATCCGCGTCGAACACTTTTAGTAAATTTTGAAAAATGGTTTGATGCAAAGTGTCAAATGAATGTAACAGAAGTAGTTTATTCCAAATTTTATCACAAGTATATAGGGATAGAGTTCAATTTTGTCAAATGTACCGATATTTTTGCGCACCTTGACTGCTTCGTTACTTATGACGCTGTGGCTGCTACGATATTTATGAGCATCTTGCATGTACTCATATATTTGACGCTGTGTATGTACCGATGTATTTGAGCAGGGTGAATGTATCTATTATTTTGATGACTTTTGTTGTACCGATATAATTGAATACTTTTGGTGTACCTATATATTTGCATATCTTGTCTGTGACGATCTATATGACGCTGACTGTACATGAATGTAAGCATGCTAATTGACAGTGTAGTTTAATATTATAATTTACTGATAAAGGTTTGTTTCTGTCATATTTGAATTTTGAACAATATTTGATAGTCCAACAACTACTTTTAATTGCATCCTTACAAAACTGCTATACTGCAGACTTGTAAATGACGAAAATCTGCAATTAAGCTGAAAGTTTTCTATTTTGATGATAATGCAACGTACCTGAGGAGTTAATCTATATGCCTTCAGTGTTAAGAATCCCCTGGCCGATTTCTTTGTGTCATAAATAACTACAACACTCTCTTCAATTGAAGTCTGATAATGATATTGTGACTCTAATAGAGACTGGCTCAGAAAATTACCAACATCGGCACTTTGGTACCTAGGAAATAAAAAAAAAACAATATACAACTTAACTACTAAATGTATTACGATATTAAAGAAAGAAATATAGATATGTTATTTTTTTAATCTTACTAATATTAAAATTGCATGCAAGGATTATTGTTGGACAGTATTTGCAGGAATGCTAAATGGATTTCAATAAAATTTGGCTATTATAAGCAAACCTCGAACTATATTATTTCTAATTACCATCCAACGTGAAAATGATCAACATTGACTCTGCGGAGTCTGCGCATCATGTCCAGCTGGTATTCCTCCTCATCCATTGTATCATCATGCTTCGGGAACGGGAAGCAGTTGGTGATCTCCAGTCTGTTCTCTACAACCAGCCCCAACAGAGCCCCTTGGGCCACCTCCATGTTGCTACATGACTCCTCATGGCAATGTTTCACTATTTTCATCACCGCCTGGAAAGTTTACACAACTATTTTTAGTAGCTAAAAAGTTTCTCATATTTAGTATGTTAATTAACTCTGGGTTTTTATAAATAAAACTAATCCATAAAAACATTCAAAAATAATAATAAGGTTTTGTAGTAGAGTGTAGGCAGCGGAGAATGTGTATAAAGAATTAATTTTTGGTGAGACTACTAAAAATACTGCTTATTGGTTCCATAGTATTTTTAAAAGTTACAAATTCTTTCTCATGGATAGTATATGTTGTCATAAAACAATAATTACTATGTTTGTATAAAACAAAACAATGTAACAAAGGCTTCAGTTACCTATAAACTGCATGTTATGTATTTTAACAAAAAACTGGTTTGATGTTAAAAGAGAAAACTTAACTGATGATCTCATGCAAAATATAAAGAGAGAGGTATTCCAAAACGGTACATGAGTCATCCAGTCAATTCATTACGAGACAGGTAAATAAAAGAGGTCGTCAACATAACCTAAACATATAATACAGCAGTACCGTTACCACAATTTCATTTTAATTTTACTATTGAAAATAAAAGATATGCACATACTCCTTTTATTAGTAAAAATGCATAGTCCATTCATATTTTTAAAGCAATATTGCTGTAGTAAAAGTTGAAAACAAGAAACTACCATAACGTGTCCGACTGTGAATTTAGATTAAAAAGTTGTATATTATAATATAAAGTATGTTACAGATATTTACCAATCCATCGCACTGCACATATGTAATAGCAGCGTCATTTTCGGGAACGCGTCTAGATGTACCGCCACGATTCGCCATTTTTTAATAGAGAAAGGGCAATGGCAACCGAGAAGTCGAGCGATCACACAGTTTGACAAATTGACAATGACGTTTCTTGGTTTGGATTTGGGTAGATTATAGATTTTTGTTAAAACTTAGTTGCTTCTTTAAAAAATATATTTTTGTTACAATTCAAAGAAAAGTGTTTTTTTTTTCTTTGAAATCCTAATCCCATATATAAAGTTACACAAGATCTGGACCTTTTTTCAAAATATATAATCTATAATCAAATTAATCACAATTCAAGACAGCTGACATTTTGTCATTATCAATTGTCAGTTCATTATCATTATCACAATGATATTTATTTTGAATTTGAAAGAAATAATAGGAAGCCATTTAGAATGAAGCTTTTGTGAAAGCTTTGTTGTGATTTAAAAAGTGTAAAATAATTGTTTCTGATGTGAAAATTAAAACTGCTCACCTTACAGATGTATTAAAGGCGGGGACATCTGACAATCTTATAATCAAATCAAAAAATAATCTTTGCACAATGAATAATTTGATTTCAAGAGAAAGTGGGTGTTCTTAAAATGAGTGAGCACAAATTTTGGTGTGGGTTGACACCATTGAAGATTTCATCGTCACAAAATGTACCTGATAAAGTTGTGAAACTGTGTTCTATAGGCACAGACTGCATCGTCTTAGGAAGCGATCATGGAGTGTATTATTGTACCATTGTAGAAGATTCATTAAATTTTAAAAAGGTTACAGGCATTTCAGCAATCGACATATCTTATCACAACGAAACACTTTATGTTATTGATGTCCATGGAAGACTTTATAAAACAAATATCAATTTTACAAACAAAGAAGAAATTGTTGTTAAAGAGGATTCCAGATGTTGTCCTCATGGTTTCAAAAGTAACAGTTATAAAGTGAAGTTTAGAAATGTAGTGACAAGTGATTTTGGGCAGCTTTTTATTAGCAGTGAAGGCCAATTATGGGGTTCAGGTGTTATGCCACAAATAGCTTTAGATAGTTCTAGTATTAAAAAAGTTCCGTTTTTCGAAGGAAGAACAGTGTACAGTGCGTCTGTGGGACAAAATTTTGGTGCTGTAATTGTTAGGAAGAATGTAAAGCACTCTAGTAATTGTGACACTGATAGTGACAATGACGATGAGGAAGTGTTTGCATCAAATTGTTCACAATGTCAGACAATAATTGGGCTTGCATCTCCTGCATCAGTCCCATCTTTATCAGAGACTTGTCCTCTCGGAGTACACATCAGTAAATCTAGTGAAGATTCCAGCAGTACTACAGCACCACAAACAGATGTCCATGTTGATGCTCAAAGTTTTACTGAAGACTCTAGTCCCTCCTCTGAAGAATCAAAGATTACAAAAGATAAGTTTCAAAGTAATAATTTAGAAAGTAATGAAAAACAAGATAATGAATTAGGTAATAATGATAAGGAAGAGGAAGAAAATGAAACAGCTCAAGGAAGTACTGACAAAATAAACAATATCTTTATTAATACTGATGCCGCAAGACAATTTTTAAGTAGACAGCTATCTTGGGTATCAGTGGGTGAAGATTATTTGGTTGAATACACTGAGAAACCGACTAGAATAATTAAAGAAAATGTATCAAATCTTACAAACCTAGTATATGAAGGGGTGAAGACTGTTGGTGATAAAGTTGCCACATTGTCCAGACATGTAAGTGGTAGCAGTGATAACAATGATATTGAACCTCAAAGTAATGTTCAAACTGAAGAAGTCAACTCTCTTATGTACAGTTGTGCATCAAATGGAAATTATGAAGATTTACAATTTTCAACAAGTACAATCAGTAGTGAGAAAGACTTTGAAGCAGCGAGGAAGACTGAAAGTCTTAAGAATATGTCTAAACTTGGTAAAAATATTTTGGCTACTGAATTATGGACTTGGGGTGATATAACATATGGACAACTAGGAATTGGAGATACAGTTAAAAGAATCAAGCCAATGGTAGTTATGAGTTTATCAGGTTTTGGATTGCAAAAGGTATCATGTGGTAAATGGCACTGTGCTGCTCTAACATTGGATGGAAGATTATTTATATGGGGTTATAATCATTTTCATCAAGTTAGTTTTGATTCCAGGGAAGATAAAAGTGGCCCAAAACAATTCACTGAAAATTCTGATAGTGACAGAATAAGAGATATGATTGCAACAGATCATCATACACTTGCTTACACGCAAAATGAGAATGTTTTTTACATGGGAAAGCATAATGAAGGTTTTACAGAAACCATAGTGAATTTAAATGATAAAAAAGATGAAGAAAGTGAAAATATTAAAAATCTTACTGTTAAAATAAATCAACCCCAAACACATAGAAAGCCCCAAAACATGTGCTATCACTGGAGAGTTTTATCATCCGGCAACCTAAGTTATTGTTCCCTAGAAGAATCTATTGTTAGTCCAGACTTTCAAAATTTATCTATATCTCAAAGATATTTAGAAGAAATGATATTAATTCACCAAACACTTGTTAAACCTTTTCTAAAGAAAAGTAAAGCAATAACATTACATTCCAATGTGTATGAAAACTTATGTGATATGTTTGGTGACATTTTAAATATAACAGCTCTAAATGTGCTATCCATTTGGCAATATGCTGAAAAGCACATAAATGAATGTGATATACCTTTAATAAAAAACATAGAAGAGTATATTTATTTGTATAGAAAGTATTACTTAGCTATAAGCAATTTGATTGTTATCGGTGGATTTGCTCATATAAATAATGTTGTTGATGTGCCATCAAGTGTTTATAATCTATTTAGTGATCAGCTTCCAACAAACAAACAGAAAAATAATAAGAAAACCTTAGAAGCAGTTGTCGCATTAGCTTTTGTTCAACCTTTAACAAGATTAAGTTCATACAAATGTATTGCCCAAACATTACTGAGACATAAAACTAAAAGAAAGAAAGGTGAAGTTAAATTAAATATTGAGGATAAATTGAATAAAGTCATATCATCTTTGGACAATTTAATTGATGATCAAGAGAAGAAAAGAAAGGAGGCAGATCTGACAAAATTATTTTGGGAAAGTATTGGTAAACCTTTGGAGCAATATAGAACGCCCGAAAGACGATTGGTGAGAGAGTCAAAATCTCGACAGCTAAACTTAGTAAACCCTGGACGTTTTAGTACTCATTGGTTTATTTTGTTTAATGACTTATTTGTCCACATGTGTGGTAGTGTCATTAATGTTCATCCCATTGAAACATTATGGGTTGAACCAGTGCCCAATACTGATTCTCTACAAAATGCTATACAACTTATAACTCCGGAGGAAACCATCTCAGTTTCAACAATTACTGAGCAAGAGAAAACAGAATGGATTCATTCATTCAATACTTCAATAAGAACAGCTTTAAATAAAGAAACTCTGTTTAAACCTCCGGCAGTCAGAACAGCTAGCTATACATTTTCAAGTAAAAGTACATTTTACAAAGAAGCTAAATATCAAGGAAGATGGTTGGATGGGAAGATGCATGGTCATGGTAAAGTGGAATGGCCTGATGGGAAACTTTATGTGGGTCAGCTACAGTTTAACGCACTTTGTGGGCATGGTAAAATGGAAATTCCTAACATAGGTAAGAAACTAACGTATTTTTAGAAAAGAAAATGCTGGAATATATTAAGGTGATATCAACTTGAAGCTATCAATCGTGTACCTAATTATCTTTCCTAATTAGATAAATACACAAAAAGACAAATCATCAGTCTAATTTATTTGAGTTAACCCAAATTAACACAAATAGACACTATTATCATAATAATTAAATAATTTTGAACCCCTTATTCTAGGCACATACGAAGGCCATTGGAAAGATAATCTCCAAAGCGGATATGGGGTAATGAAATATATTTCCGGTGATATATACGAAGGCCATTTCAAAGAGGGGAATCCCCACGGTCATGGTGTAAAGAAGCAGGGTGATTTCAAGTCTTCGAACGCAACAATTTACACCGGTGAATGGGTGAACGGAGTACGCCAGGGTTACGGTGTAATGGATGACATAAGTAAAGGTGAAAAATATTTAGGCAATTGGAGTGATAATAAAAAACACGGTTGTGGCCTCATCGTGACCTTGGACGGGATTTACTACGAAGGATTGTTCACGCAAGACGTTCTAACGGTTTGTTGAAGTTTACGTATTACGTCATATTTTTTATCTATATTAAATTAACACCTCACGTCTTATGCAGATTTTTATAGCTACATACTTGCGTCATTTGAGATAACAGTTTTTCTGTTATTATTTCAATTGATTTGTTTTTAATTATAATAAGATTAAAGTAACAAGTTAAAACCAATTTAATATTCACAATCGATGATACATATAGATTGGGATAAAATTAATTATTTTAAATTGAGATTAAAATTAAAAGAAAAAAATTTGAAAAAATCCACAAAAACAAAAAGTAATCATTTCAGGTTCCACCGAGATTTGAACTCGGATCGCTGGATTCAAAGTCCAGAGTGCTAACCATTACACCATGGAACCTTATGACTATGCTACGAAATATTAAAGTGTGTTTTACAAATAACATCACGAAATAAAGTAGTAGTAAAATTATGAATTTATCTTAATATATTTATCAATTTGATTCACATTTCCGTTCATTATTACTCATTGATTGATACAAGAATATATACACAAATAACTTTAACAAATTTAAAGCAAATAAATTTTATAACCGCGTTCTTATGTGTAATACACCTGAATAAACATGTTATTTTTATCTCTGTTTTTTCCAAAGACAATGAGAGAGACGACAATATGTTTAAGTACATGTATTTACAGTGGGAACCCACTATATTAAATAGTTCGTACAATAATCTCAACTCATAAATCATCCTTAGGAGTCATTATAATACATTGTATATATTTTACTATCAATATTGACTATCAATATTAATTATTATATGTTTACTATTGCTGCATAGTAAACGTTGCGATAAATTCTTAATTACGTCTCATTCTTGATTCTGTTTTAAATTTAACGACAGATTAGTAATCAAACAAAACAACTATAAAAAAAAAAAACAGAATTATATTTTTTTAATATTTTCTATGTTTTATAAATTGTAGAGTTTGAATTTTATTGTCTTTGAATATGGGTTTCACCAGCTTAGGTGGACTATAAGAAAACCAGAGAATGAAATTAACAATATAATAGCACGTATTTGACCACTATTTGCGGGCATCATTTATCAAGATATGATTTCATACATTCTTATTTTGAATCGAACACATATTCTAAAAAAATTGTAGCCTGTTAGTTAAATCTGGCTGGAACTCGTAATGTGTTTTCCAGGGTCATGGTGTGATGGTGTTTGAAGACGGAACTCATTACGAGGGCGAGTTCCGTGCAGCTGGTGTGTTTTCTGGCAAAGGCGTGTTGACCTTCTCCAGTGGTGACCGCATTGAGGGCTGCCTCAGCGGGGCCTGGACTGATGGCGTCAAACTCACCAATGCTGTCATGCAGCTCAATGTGTCAAACCCAGCGCCGCCTGCTAATTCTAAACCTAAGTATGATTAACACTTTCAGTGCGAACGTGCCGTCTGGCAAGTTCATTTTTATATTGAAAATCGTAGTGGCATTTAATGTTTTAACATAACATAAAACTTTATTAAATTGTCTATTTTGACATTCTTTGTGTGTTTAAATCGTGATAATTTATACATGTTACTACGGAATCGCTTTTTTTGTTCTTCAAGAACTAATTCCTAACTTTTTTAAATAACATTGTCTGAAAACAATTTGTGTAGCTTTAACACGTTCCATGCCACTACGATTTCTTGACACTGAACGTGTTAATTTTTATTTTTTATAGTTCATTCGGCAAATTGAGCGTCGCACCGAATCAGAAATGGAACGCTCTCTTCCGACAATGTTTCCAATGTCTCGGTGTGTCGGATTCATTGCTGACTCCGACGGGCAATCACTTCGCGACCGGTCCTACCGCGCCCGCAGTGGACAACGTTAAGATATGGCAGAATGTCGCAGTGGCTATCTCCTGCTCTCACAAGGCAAAGCATCGACCAGGGAAGGGATCGGATGTAGAGAAGTCAGTCGACTGTTTGGAAGTCATACCGCAGTTCGGACAGAAGACATTGAATTATGCTGATTATATGGAATTGAAGCAATATTTTTATAATGTTAGTAATATTTAAAATATTATTATACTACTAGCTGTTGCCTGCGAATCCTTCCGCGCGGCAATATAAAAAAAACTTAATTAGTAGCCTATGTGTTCTTCCAGACTATGATCTACCCTTATGCCAAATTTCATCGAGATTCGTTCTGCCGTTCCGGCGATACCATAAAACAAACATCCATCCATCCATCCATCCATACATATTAGTAAGACGCATTTATAATGTTAGTAGGATTATTATAAATGCGTAAGTTTAGATGGATGAATGTTCCTTAACAGGTATCGTTCCAGAACGGCTCAACTGATCTTGATGAATTTGACACATATGTAGAACATAATCTGGAACACATAGGATACTTGTTAAGTATTTTTTTAAGTCCACGCAGTCGGAGTCAGAGTAGTTCACAAAAAATAAGAATTTTGATACATCTTAACATCTAGTTCATACAAACATTACTTAATTTTTTGTTTGCTTATATGTATTTATGATAGTGTATTCACCTGACGAGTCTGTGCTTTATGACTTACTAATAAACATTATTTGTGGCTAAAATAAGACCGATGTGACATGGTGTGTCCATTTCCTCAGGCCTGTGAGTCCAGCCACCACCCCGTGGGTGAGCTGGTGGTGGGTGTGAGCGGGGCGTTCAACACGACGTACGGGGGAGTGCGCGTGCACCCGCTGCTGCTGAGCCACGCGGTGGCGGAGCTGCGCAGCCTCACCGCGCGCCTCTACCGCCTCGTGCGTCTGCTCTTCCCCGCGCTGCCGCCCGACGGAGCTGACCTGCTGCTGCCATATCCTGACTCTCAACACAACGATCCTATTGAAGGGTATGTTCTTATAATATTACTACTTTTTCTACAAACATTTAATAATAATTGGAGTGTCTTTCTGTTATTAACAAAAAACTGATTTATAAAACTTTTGTCTGTGTGTCTGGCTGGACTTACTTTGACGGGACTTGGACGAAACGGTAGCTAATGGATGCGAACATAAGCTACTTTTTGTTTTTTTTTAATACTGTGCTGAGGAAGTCGCGGGCGACTGCTAGTATAAATTGTTGCGTGACATGTGACGCGATAATGTGACTTTTAAAATGACGATTGATATAGCATTGACATAGAAAACATGTTAAGCCGATCACACTTACAACGAGCAGATTTTTGCAACTTGACATTTTGAAGGTCGCGGTTTGAAAACTCTGCACTCTGTCGGAATGTTTGCGATACAATAATCGCAAGTGTACTATGAGGTGATGAGGTGATAACTGTGACGTCAGCGAGGTGGTGAGCGGAGCGCGGCTGGTGCAGGGCGCGTTGTTACCGCGTGTGCACCCCGCGCTGTTCGTGTTGTACGCGCTGCACAACAAGCGCGAGGACGACCTGTACTGGCGCCGTCTGCTCAAGTGGAACCGTCAGCCTGACCTCGCCCTCATGGCCTTCCTCGGCATCGACCAGTGAGACACGACGATATCACATCTACCACACAAATCTCATTTCACGTTAATTCTTACAAAAATAGTCATCATCATCATACCAGCCTTTATCACTTCCAAGATATAAGCGCCACTTTTGACAAGACAACAAATGGCATGAAAAAAAGACATTTAGTTTCACTTTTTATCGTTTGAATTTCACAACTTTTTTTTCACTTGAACTGTAGAAAATTCTGGGTCGGCTACCCCAACGGTCCGGGACAAACGTCGCCGGCGCAGGCGCAGCTGGAGCTGTTCCAGGAGGCGGTGGAGACGCTGCAGCAGCTGAAGACCACCTTCTCTCCCATCGAGAAGCTGCTCGTCATCCGCACCACCTTCCAGAAGATGACCACAGCCGTGCAGCAGCAGCTAGGTGAATACTAATCAATTTCATAGAGTTCTTGACGAAAAGCGTTAACTATAATATTTTTACTTTATTGGAATATGTTATTCCAGTGTTAATCCAGAGCTGAGAGAAGATGTGTGTTGTGTGCAGGATGCAGCTACCTGTGGGGCATGGACGAGCTGTTCCCGGTGTTCCAGTGGGTGGTGGTGCGCGCGCGCGTGCTGCAGCTCGGCTCCGAGCTCCACTTCCTGGAGGACTTCCTGGAGCCCGGAGACCAGTGCGGGGAGCTCGGCCTCATGTTCACCACCCTTAAGGTACTGTTGCCCCACTACCCACTGCGCCTTCAGCAGCACTGTCCCACTGCAAATACCCACTGCCTTAATGCCTTGTTTAATTCACATTTTTTTCGCAGTGTAGAGGAAGTTTCAGAAGAAATATATATTTTTTTTTAATTAATAATATATTCAATTCTCCAAATTACGCAATTTCTAAAAAAATCGCCCTCATAAAATATTTTGATTTTCTAAATGTGTCGTAATTCAAGTAATGTAATGAACATATGTTTATTTCCAGGCTTGTTATTTTCAAATACTTCAAGAGAAGATGTCCATCAATTGATATCAAGTTATTTAAATAAATGATCTCACGATACGTAACTACTGAATATCATTTTATACCAACAAATTTACTTTCCGTATGTCAAAGAACATATATATATTTGAATTATTTTTATATGGCAACACATATAACTATCATTATTTTTTTAAAGATATTTTAATTTAATATATGATAAGGTACGTTTATTAAGTAATTTATTGATTAATAATAAATATTAAAAAGTATTTAAAAACATTCCCTTATAGATTTTAAGAGTAGAATGTATCTCGTTAGATAAAGATTAAATTATTGTGAGGATGTTATCATTTCTATTTTGTGTTCTGAATGTTGGTACTTATATAACTACTAGCTGTCGCCCGCGACTCCGTCCGCGCGGCGATAAAAAATAGATGTTGTCCGATTCTCAGACCTACTCAATATGCTCACAAAATTTCATGAGAATCGGTCAAGCCGTTTCGGAGGAGTATGAGAACGAAAATTGTGACACGAGAATTTTATATATAAGATGTATAAACATGTAGTTTTATGAGTACCAATAGAATTTAGTATAAAACATATTTAATAATGTTTTATGTTGAATGTGCCAAAATTTAAATTTGTTTTTGTTATTTTTTTTTACTAATTTTGTGTGCGTTTATTTGCTTTGTGACCCACCGTTATTGTCCAAATGTTAATACTCTATGTTAAATTGGAACGTTACGTTTTAAGTGCATTTTTTTTAATTGTTTTCAATCGAAATTGAAAAGAATTACTGCACTAGATATTCTGCATTTATGTGAATCATCAGTACATTTTTTTTATTCATCCATAATATGTTAGTCTAAGTAATTTTTTTTCAAGTTATATTAACTTTAACTTTGTTATAATATTATTATCGTTTATTCATAAAGCGATTTTATCAATTCAGCTATCATTGCAAGCTATTGTTATCTTGCCATTTTTTTTTAAATTAATGTTGACAAAAATTTTAAAGCTCTAAATATGTGACACTATTGCCAGCAGTGGTCTGTCATCTGTCAAATATTTAAACGTCATTATAGCGATTTAAAAAAAAAAAAAACAAAGTTTATTTCATTTTTTAATTTTTTGTTACAAGGTTCAATTCAATTACGCTTAATTAATTTCGTGTGATATATTAAGCGTTTTATATTAAGTCGTGTTTGTTCAAAATAAAAGCAATATGTAGGCCTATTGTATTATTAAGAAAATTTTACTCTTCAAGTGTTTATCGCGAATATAGTAATAATTACAAAACTCTACACACTCCAAATGATCTTGCGAAAACATGTTTTTGTCTATCTCATTGTATTTGCAAAAAGTTATAATAGATAACTGTATGTTTGTGTAGAGATGTTTCGGCAGTGTAAACCTACAGTAAAGAGTAGAAAAGCAAGTTTTTCTACCTCCCAGCAACTGTAATGTAAATCTAAAATTCCATAGTACAAAAGGATCAAGTAACTTTCAAATTTAATTCAATGTTAAATCATCTTAGGATTCCACTGCAGTAGTACTTGTGTAAATACAATTGTCATGTAATAGATTGGGATGGCAATTAAAAAATTATTACAAGTGTCAAACAGTGGAGATTTACTGCTCGATGTATAGATAAGTATAAAATACATGTCCATTTATGGCAACACCAAAGAACAAATGTTGTACATAGACAAATATATCCAACATAGATTAAGGTGTTAACGATAAAAACCATATCATTGTAGGTAGAATGTTGCTTAATTTGTAATGTCTGTTTTCTCGTCAGATGTATGTGTGTGTGAATTTATAATATAAAAAATTAATAAAGTTCTCAAAATAATAAAAAAAATCTTTTATTTACGAATAAAAAGCGTAACAAAAAAATAATACACGTTGAAATTTATTAAGGCTATTTATTTCATTCCTATAAAATAACATACCAAATGTCTCTTTTGTACAACATGATATCAAAAATGTACACCGTTATATAAATGTGTTCAGGTAATTTTTACCTTAGTTAATGCACGAGCCGACTCCATCGCTGTCATATGCTTTATAATATTATAGTCCTCTCACGTCTCTAATCTCTGAATGTACACACAATGTCAGATAGATGTCACATTGCTTCTGTCAAATAAAATTATCACTCAAAAAAAATACAGACATATATAAAGCTATTTTAAACTTTTAAAAACAAAAAAAGGAATATAGTCGATCCGGGATAAATTATTGTTTGATGTCTATGGACGACCAATATAAGGGTGAAAGTCGGGTTAGAAAGAAACCTCTATAAGTGAAAAATATCGCAGTCCCTTAAACTTTTGATCCGAATCGATCTATACTTAGTTCTTATCTATCTGACTTTATCTGTACAAAATGTTCATACTACTGTCTCATAGGTTTCCACTGGTGAAACAGTGATACAAAAACATATTGTCTCTTTTATTTTCTGTGTATATGTAAATATGTTTGATACATGTTTCGTCAGTGAAAACCCACAGTATTCCTGTACAAATATCTACAATATGCGAACATCAATTCATTGTTAAATAGAACACAATAATTACCAAACATTGCACTTTTACAAGATTTATTGAGAATTACACCAAAAATACGATTACCAACATAAACGGACATTTTATGTTATAATTTTTAATTTAGTTACGCAAATTGTAAACCATAAATAAGTTAAACCAGCAACGAAAACGACAGAATTTAATGTTGCCAGTATTCATAAAGTATAAAAAATGAGGAGTATTTTTTTTTAATTTGTCTAAAGGCAAGAACAAATGTTGCAAACAATTAAGATAGACGAACTTGCGCATACTTTATAATTAGAAATAATAATGCTGCTTTGACAATTTGTTCGTTTCTCAATTTGTGATTTTGTACTTTGTTCAAAAGCAAATTAACACATAACATGCCACGGTTTCATACGAAACTCGTATCGGTGGCATTCAATGTGTTAAGAAGTTGATAATACTGAACTCAAAGATAAAATAGCACGGGTTATTTAAATTTTAATATTAACATGGCAACTATGACTTTAAAATGGCAAATGCTTTAAATTATATCACCGATTATGAAAAAAAAAATCGATTTCCACAGTTTGAGAATTTTTGCTTTTGTAACGTCAGCACACAAATACCAAAAGCACCAAACTAATCGAGTTCTAATTTTTAAAAAAAATCCAGTGCAAATCTTACAAACAATATTATTGCGTTAATCGTTCCATAAAAAATACCTTAATTTATCGATTAAATTACGTTTATATTTAATACAAAAAGAAAACATGTGAAATCAACTATACAACAATTCTAGTTAAAATCGTTACGTTATAAAATACTTTTTATTTAATTTATTACACATAAAGATATTAGCAAAATATCAATCAAATTTTATTGCAATTCAAAAACAAATTAACAATATTTATTTTACTTAATATAATAATATAATTGGACGATACCGGAGTAAACATATTACAATTTAAAATGGGGTTAGATGTTACTAGAAAAGAATTCACAGGGAGGTAATTACTAATTAGTTTGAACGCTTACAACTAGAGAAATCAACATATAAATTACTATAACGTGCTATGTCTACATTCTGCTCGATTTATCGTGAAATTTTTTACAAAAAAAAAACTATAAAAAAATACTATTATGGCCTTTCTATGTTATCCGTATCTTTATTTTTGATAAAATATATGTAAGATATATTTCCAATACAATCCTATGAGCCCTAAAATATTAAAAAAATAAAAATAGGGTACAAATTACCATTTAAAAAGAACTTCTTATATATAAAATTCTCGTGTCACAATTTTCGTTCCCATACTTCTCCGAAACAGCTTGACCGATTCTCATAAAATTTTGTGAGCATATTGAGTAGGTCTGAGAATCGGCCAACATCTATTTTTAATCCCGCGCGGACGGACTCGCGGGCGACAGCTAGTTCATTTATAATTATTTAACGATGAATACAAAATGGAAATCGAACTTTTTAAAACTATTTTTTTTTACGTTGTAAAAGTTTTTGCATAAATTTCATGTTAAATCGAGCAGATTTGAGTTGTTAATGCTTACGAAATAAATGCCGTCTATGTGTTACATGCAGAAATCTACGTCACCGCAATACGCAAGCCTTTGAACAAAACACCACGCGATATGTATCGGACAAAACTTCAAACATTCAGTACAGTCAGCTTCGCATATGTATGGAACATAACAAAATTATTATATAAATTAATTTCATACATTTCTATATATATACTTCGTCTTTACTTTAAAAGGTTTTATAATGACTAAATGATATTTTATCTTTTTTTAATATATTCTTCTTAGTTTATTTATCTCTTGTGAATACATTACATACGTATATTTTTCGCTGACTGTACCGTCGAGTGCACATAATATATGTCTGTGAGAAACATAGACAATTTGTACCGTGTAGTGCAATGTGGGTAATTGACCTATTTAATATATTTAAAATTCCGTATATGTTATAGTACAAATGACATTTTAAAACTGTGCAGTGTTCGGATTACATATAGACACATATAGCCTTATATATCTTTATAACTAGCCGTATTGTATATCTAGTAACTATATGTAGAGGTTATATACACCGGCATAGTCACTAAATAACAAACTAACATGTACATTACGAAAATAATTTCGTATATAAAAAAATCGTGATTTTACAAAAAAAATTGAGTTATCCGATTTAAAGTTAATAAAAAAAATCTTATTTACACATCCGCTATAGAAACGACAATATATTGTTTTTTTATCATAAAAGAAAAATAATAAACAATAAAAACCTTTTTGCTAAGCAAACAATAAATACATGGCTTACGAATAGCCAAAAAGAATTTTAAAAAATGATATACTGCAGTATATTTGATTTTTTTTTTAAATGTAAGCCAATGCCCGTTGTTTTATCGCCAAACAGTAAGTCGAACACAGAGCCGAATGTGCGTTACGAATACTTAAAAAAAGTTACAGTCATTTTTTTGTCCAATCGCTTAGTCAACTAATACTGAAAGCACCATTTTATATTTACCTAATTAATCGTTATTCGATTTGTACATGAAATAGTACGAATATAATTTTGAATTTTGCGCTTTATCATTTGAAACCGTGGAAATGGTTGCATCGCAAATGTTTATAAGGGTTACATTTTGAAATATTCACAAGGTCCAAAAATACATTTTAATTATATAAGGAAGTAAAAAATTGTTTTTTTTTTAAAGTATTATAAAAAAAACGAGCAAACAGCATAGATGGTAAACGAGATGTGTCGAGTTACGTCAGATTATATTATATGAACGATTTTTTTTGTACCATATTTTAACATCAGGTGGGATTTTTTTCAGCTTATTGCTACTTTATCGGAGTTTCCATTGTCGAATGACAAGAGATAATGAATTTGTCAGTAAGCAACACCGATAAAAGACAGACTAATAACTGCAGTTAACACATGGCCGCGCTTTAAAACGCCTTGTGTGTACTCGCTCTTATTGTACATTAGAAAAAACTTCATATTTTTATTAAATAGGATGATAATAAAAAAATAAATTTGAAATGCTTCATTAAAGTTTTAAAGCAGTTTTTTTTTCAAATGGGGCAATTTTTTTTTCATAACTACTTATTAAGTCATTATGTCGTGTTTTTATTTCAGAATTATAATTAAATCATCTATAAAACTAGGTAATACTGTATCGATAATGCGTTTAAACGGTAGATAATTGAAAATAATTTTATAAAACATATAATTTAATAAAAAACTTCATGTCAAAATTATAAAAAAAAAAACAAATATATTATAGATATGTCTCGCTTGTCTGCAAATCCCAAAAAACATCCCAACTCTTATAGTAGGAACTACATTTCTATAGACCGTCTCAATTTTGTAGGAACAAGATATTTTTTTTGTACCTAATTATTTTTTCATTAAAAAAATGTTTCCTTGGATTTTGCAGTTTGATGTTCTAAGGATTGCTAATTTTATTGTCATCGATATAATTTTGTTAAAAAAAATACAATATAATTATTATAAATATAATATTGTTCGTTTATATATCGTCAGCGAATTAAATAAAATCAAATTAAAAAGATAGTTCAAGATTTTTATTTAATATTTCATTGGAAACATGTTCCCAATAAAATGCTTTGAACAAGTTTTACTAACGTATTACGATATATATATATATGTAAAATATATTTCTGAACATAAAAAATTAAAAATATCAAATATATATAAACATAAATATAAAGTTCGCTGCCACAATAATAGAATCAACATCCACTATTTAAAAAGAATAATAGCTGTTGTTTATAAACTTGTTTTTAATTAGAAACATGTTTCTAATAAAATATTGAATGTTGCCAGAATTTTCTACATAAAAAATATGGCCAACATAAAAAAATTGAAGGTGTAAATTTGATAATTTATTAATGAAAATATTAAAATGATTTAATTGTTAACGTCTATGGTGTAAAATGGCAACAAGCTCATCAGTTAATTTACAATATGTTTGTACAATGTATAATACATACAGTCATTAGAATCAGGCACTAATTATAAACTAAATTCATATGTATTCCTTATGTTGTCATATGACTTTTTACATGTGAAATAGTTTCATACATTTTCGTAACGATTTTCTTTCATAGATATATTTTTTTCATTTTCACTTATAATAAAAATATATTTACACCTCTGTACAGTCGTACTGAGTAAAATCCAGTCGAATTTTAAAATTCGTAATCACTTTCGAGTCGATTCATTGTAAAAACGCAAAAACTTAGCGGGAACTAGGGATGTACAGGGGGAACACATAAAGTATCGATATTACGTTATGTCTAACATTGCAATACTAATCTCGATTATATTGCGAGCCAATTTGCGCGGGATGCTAAATGCTTTTCGTATACCTGCCAATATTTTTATAAACATCGATTCTTGCGTACTATAACATCGATCATCCCTATCGGACACACGAAGCTATTTTAATAATTCCTCAACTGCAATCTCCCTAATTCATATTTGATCCCAAGCGCGATATAAAAAGACATCGATCGATTATTTATCGATTATTAAGAGACACCTAACGACTAAAACATCGATATTTTTACTCTTTAAAAATAGAAACACTGATATTACATTTAAAATATAGACGTACGCACATACCGCTTACTGCAAGCTTCACAGCGACAAGGGGATAAGTTAAATTATTTTAAAAAAATACAAATCCATCATACGGACCACTTACGCACTAAGAAATACCTAAAATGTATAATAGGTACAAATAACGTCCTTACTATCCAGAAGGCAAAATTGGCACTTAATACGAAGTTCGCTCCTCTCTTGACGATCGTCCCGAGGAAGGTGGTGAAGGGGCGGGCGGGGGTCGGGTCAGCACAAACGCGACTCTCGCGGAGGGGTATGGGGAGGCGCGACTCGTGGGACGGATGCGTGTACGCGTGCGGCCCCGCCCCCGTGCGCGCGGTGCTCCGCCCCCCGGCGCGGTGGGCGGGGCCCGGCTATGCGGGCGGCGGGCTGCCCTGCGCCGGGTTGTACGGGTGGTTGGAGTTACGTAGCACTGTGTACACACTATCAACTTTGCTCAGCTTCTCGAAGAACGGTATCAGGTCTAACAGTTCTGAATCTGTCATGTCGTCGAACCAGGACGCGACAGGTACCTGTAATGAAACGGACGGAACTCAATACCTGGCTGTGTTATTATGCGTCATTCGTTCAGCTCCAACAGTGTATAAAGTTATTTCTTACAGCATTATCCGGATGGAAGATGTATGAGGCGGGCGAGTTGTCAACAATGACGACGCGCCGCAGATCGCGGCCGAGACTGTTGAGGTCCTTCACGTAGTTACCGCGGTGGAACACGCAGCTGTCGCGGAACAAGCGCGCGCGGAACACGCCCCATCTGGAACACAAGATGTACCAAATTACTACAACTATTATTATTATTATATCCTTGACAACAAACTAGATAGTCACAGTATACACAATACATAACAATGGTATGAAAAATTTGCATGTCCTTTTTGTATAGAAATTCAATTGCCATTTAAAATACAGAAGAGAATAAAGAATGAAGTGACCTCGTCAAAAGATAAACAAGACAAAGACCCTGGCTCTATGGGATATGGTATTTCTTGTCGATGAGATGAGTCACCGTATCTTTAAACGAGTGGAATACGGGTATAAAACTTGAAACTTGGAGATCTTCTCATCTGAAATGTTTTAGAAGTAAATGGTACAGGGAAAATTTATTCTCTATGTTCGTCGTTTTACGATTAACAAATTATTGTTAATACATAATTAATAAGTATGATACGCCATAATAATTCCTAATAACACGTGTATTGAAGTAGTCGACCTTGAACAACTGGCAATTATATGACCCTTATCTCCTAGTGTGCAATTTCCTTAATATTAACAACGAGAATTGCAGACTTCTATGGACGCACCGTAAAAGTATAATATGATTTCGTTTATGTATACAAGTACGTAACAAACTTTACCAAGAAAATTTGCTATAAAATAACAATTTTAAACCGTTATAACAGTTTTTCTGTAGTTGAAAATCCTAATGTAACACGATCCTGCAGCGAGATTAATTTATCCATCACAGGAGACTGTTAAGTCTAATGCTGTCCTACGTTTTAAAGGCCACAACAAGCAATTGGACGGACGAGACAAAATATGTGTCATTTAATTAATCTATCCTAGAAACCATTCGTAGTCTGAGTAGAGACGAAGTCTTTTGCTTACATTAAGTTTTCTAGCTGATTAAGTGAAATTGTTTTCAACAAGTCCACCAACATAAGGGAGTGACTACACAAGGACAATAAACAATGGGTGGTCCTTTCTCACGTTACATTGCAGCGAGCGTCTTCGAGGTGACGTCATCAGGGGCACGTGATCGCATTAATAATTGCTTATTCTGCACTATGGCGGCCATAACTGGATTAAAACTTCGCCCAGTTAACATACAAAGTATTCTTTTCATTATGATCCTTCGGGCAGGATTTTTGAATATTAGAGACCAAATTAGTTGCCATCGAGTTGACCAATGTTATTGGAGGTGTGCCTTACCTATCTAGCAGGTCGGCGACAGGGTCCGCATACTTGGCGAGCGAGGCTGTAAACAGCACGCACTCGTACAGCTCGCCGCATCGACGCAGGAATTCGTCGACGTGCGGCCGCTTCAACACGTACACTTGATGCACCGCACCGTCGATCTCCACGGGCACCACGAAGTCTGCGTTGTTGATAGGCTGGATACAAATAAGACAATATTTAGGTACAAAGATACAATAAAATATAACTGATGAACAGTTGTATTACTCTTTTTATTCAAAGAGAGACCAATATCTCTTATACAAGTATTTAGGGTTTCCACTAACCCACAGTTAGTCATGTCAAGGATTCAAAAAGCGCTTAAGCACATAGAGATTTCATTATTCCATCGACCAGTGGTATAGAGGTTGTCATACATCATGTAGGCTCGAAATTTCATACGACTCGTAGCGCCTAACACATTTTAAGATGTAGTAGGAGAAAGAGATGTGGCAGGACGCACTACAATGCGCGCAAATATCCTTGGGCCGCCAAGATATTTGAAATACATTTATTTTAGCTTACAACTTGTGATTTCTAGAATTACATTTTTAACCAAACTTTATTTCATGGACAGTCATGGTTACCTAATAAACTTACCATCTGCGTTATTGTTTGCTACTAAACATAGATAAATAAATGAATCAATCTATGACAAACTTTTACGTATAAATAATGATGAGAAAGTATTATGTATGGGTACAGAATACATAAATAAATAAAGACATAAACGTTGAATCATCAGAATCGAGATATCATTGTTTTTTAATCTATAAATTTTATTGCTACGTTCGTCTTATCGTGTGTTTCTGACGTCAAAATCCCCGTTTAAAACATATTATTATCTCTGTTTAATCAAAGATAATGTCAACATGTTTTATATAGAGATTTCGGTCTCAGAAACCAACGGTAAATGAATTTGCCTCTAGTTCTAATTGCTACAATATTAAATCTTAGAAAAGCATACCACAATGTAAATTTGTCTCGTCATAATAATTCTTGGGAAAGCATGGAATACGTAAAGGGATTGGGGTCAACACTGGCTTCGTCCGTTATAATAAATTGTGCTGCAACAATAATTCATTGTAACTCAGTTTATACGCTTTGATAGTGAATTATAATAGTTTAGTGACTGGTCTAGTCTTTCTATTCATAAACATCATGAATTATTTAGTAAATACAATTATTATTTTGGGCATGCACCTACGCCAGTACCGCTAGTGTGTCGAGGGCTTTATCTAAATTTTCTGTTTAACAAACGAGTAAGCGAGCGAGTAATTATAAGTCGTCAAAAGGAATTCCGTTATTTCATCCGAATTATATTTTATAAAAATTTAAACTAAACAAAACGCGATATTATAATGCGGTTCCTTTCACGAAATTCCTATTAAAGTTTTCTAACTAGTTGCGTCTTTATTGAATTAAAAAAAAAACTTATGACACCACAAAATAGATACTTAATTACCAACAGTAATTATTGACCCCAATACTCGTTGATAACAACCACAATGTTAACCAAAACGTGGCAAACAGTTATAAAAATGTCTCAGAACTTGGAATCTATGAATAATTCATGGCCATTAGTTTGTGCTGGTTTTTTTTTTAATTATTTGATCTCTTATATGCGACGATATCAAACGACATAGCAAACTAATTGTTATAGTAATTATGATAACAACAAGACATACGCTTGAAATAAATAGAATAGACAAAAGAATATCAAATATTACTTTTGTATTGATTTCTTTATCCATCAACCAGCATTTAAATTACATACGGTAAGGTCTGACTATTACCGTATTTGGGCAGTTTGTACTGTTAGGAAGAAATTCCGACACTGTGCCGGTGTGGCGCAACACTAGCCTTGCTAAAATATCGACGTTTATGTCCCCTCACTAATCATTCTGACACTTGACTTTGTAATGAAAGCGCGCCATTTCGCTCCAAAGGATTATAATTAATAATATCTAAAAGTACTAACGATTTTTATAGTCTAAAACACACCAAAAATATTTCTGCATCGTTGTACTTATGAGCCAAAATGCCGGTAAGGATAGAACTATGATAAATCGTTTGGACATTAGAAAATAAACGTCAAGGAACAACGGACGTTGTTACGTTGACAACTGTAAAAATATAACCCTTCTGGGTCAGTTGGCCAAATAGAAACCAACATGTGGATATGAATAAATCAAAATCCGAAAGTTTAAAATGCAATACCAACACGTCAAGTACTAATCGAGTACCCCATATACATTCAAGGCTGAAGCCTTGACATGCGAACTACTAACCAAAAGCGTACACAATGAGCTCTAAAACATAGCACATGGCGATGTCACCGGCAAATCGTGTACTCCGTCCGTTTATAATTTGCCACGATATGTAATTCTGATTACATTACGACTTTTGACTATTCTGTACAGCCTATAAAGAATTGCATACTGGACTGGCAATGTTACTGTCACTTGAATACCTTTACAAATTGGCTAGTATCTGTTTTCAATTCGCTTACTAAGTCTTTACGATTTGCCGGGGCAAATTACAAACGAACGACGTTCACGATTTGCCGGCGACACATGGACGAGCGATCGATGTTTGATTTTACAACAATGTATGTATGGAAGCTAATTTAAAGCTTTGAATTCAGTTTACGATAACAATGGATTATCTTGGTCACTTCGGAGAAGGCTGGAATTTATTTAATATATCGGAAATATTAATGGTTTTTATACAATTTGTTAAAAACATAAATTTTTCCAATTAAGGTTCCTCGATAAGTAGTTAATATGGGACAAAAAAAACTACGAATGTTAACTTTCTTATACCAAACAATGGCTTCGGTTTGTATTTCTGTTAGATTGATTAGAAATCTTCTCGATTCTAAGATGCGTTACGAGAATAGAATAAATAAACGATTATTTGTAAGACAGCATTTATATTTACCTTGGCTTAAGTAAGAAAATAAATTTAATTTAAATACAGTTCCCACAAGCGTAATTGGTTGGATTTTGAAACGGAATTCGTTTCAATAATGTTTGCAACACATCCGCCACTTCGAGGAGAAGGAGGAAACAAGAAGAAAAAAACAATGCTCATTTATTAAATTTAATGCCTAATTCTTAATAAAAAAATAAACATAACTGAGACTAAAGGACACGATAAGGTAACCGTCGATTCCCACTGCGTATATGTATAAAATTTTATCGGTCAACCTCTTTAAAAGATCTAGGATAATATTATGTTTTTTTACAAGTTACTGTGTACATGTGTTCCGACAGTGAAACCCCACGGCAACATTTATCAGACACCAAAGTATATTATGCCACACTTCTGTATAAGTTCCTTCTATATTTTAAACATACAAAAACATATACAAGTTTTTTTTTAAATTGTAATTTCATCTAAAATACATTGCCACCCTTAATCTATGTTTAATTATACGCAAGCAAGTTCTATTATCTATAGACTTTAATTATAGCCAGTACAGTTGAGTGCCAAATTTCTATTTATTGAACGAAAGTCGTGGAACTATGGTTTCTAGTTTCCTATTTTGGCGCCAAAATAATAATATATGTAATACTACGTCTAAGAATAGAATGATCGAATCGTTATTATCGTGATTATAAATAAGCTGTCGCACGCAACGACGTACGAATTGAAAATAAAAACGCAATTAGTAGCCTATATTTTCTTCTAGATTATGTTCAACACCTATGCCCAATTTCACCGAGATCCATGTAGCCGTTCTAAACATACCGTCTAACAAACGTCCATCCATCCATCCATCCATCTAAATATTCGAATTTATAGTATTAGTAAGAAGTAAGATAATATGTAACCAATTTCATTTCAATGACTTATGTTACTAAATTTCTCTTACCTTTATCAGACATGTGCCATAAATTTGCTTCAATATCAAGCTGTCGGAAGAAGACAATTACATTGAGAAGAATAACGTGTCCTTGATATTTTAAGAGATATGACTGCGATGAGGGGAGATATCATTATAGGCACGAGTAGATAATCAAATGTATAAAGAAATCGATGCGTTGCGTACGGCACAGTTAATCTATTTACGTGGGTGTCAGAGTTCAGCGCACACCCTAGCTCGGACTATTAATAGAACGATTCATTTCACCTTTGCGAATGAGAACGGAAGCGATGTTAGTTATATTTCGTGAATATTAAAAAAAACAACAATCTACGTTATATTAAAATTGCTTATACCGCTATCTCTAATTACATCACTATCCATGATAACCTATCTGACCCCTAAATTTACTAATTATATAAATGTGAATGTTTAGATGGATGTATATATGTTTTTAGATGGTATCTCCAAAACGCAACGAATCTCGCTGATATTTGGCATAAATGTAGAACAAAGTCTGGAAGAACACTTATGCTAACTAATTAAGTTTATTTAAAATTCCGCGCAAACGGATTCGAGGTCGACAGTTTTAAATATATCTCGTATACTTCGTATATAATTTCTGTTATAAATAAATTAAAAATATCTGATGTGTTCGATCACATAACAATCAGTAAATATAGATCATTGTTTTAAGTTGAATATTCATATTACCATCCATATCATAGGTCGTATGACTGTAAATTGTTTTCCCGTACCGGGACTTATCCATACGTTAGTCATATTGTAGAATCAGTTGTCACGTACGTATGTCTACTTTATGGAATATTGAAATGACTCGTATAAACCGAACAAGTAAACCTCAGGCTACGATCGGGTAAACTTGACAAAAAAAAATCATGTTATTTGTTTAAAATTGAACTAAAATCTATTTAAGTAATATTCAGGACAAACAAATGAATAAAAAGACTTAACTGAATACTGTTAGACAATAATTTTAGTAAAAGGTCATATGACGGGAATCACCCAGAGCACGTAAGTCAAAACAAGTTTGTGGTCCAATTGTTAATTGACCTAGCTTACTCTTTATTATTATATTTAAATTCGACATCGAATCAGGAACTTTATCGTCACGATTCCAAGTCGCTTTGCATAATAATACTTGTGATTACATTACAAATTACCTAAATCGGTTGTATCATTGCTGCAAACAACTTGGGGAGGTTACAAAACATTCGATGAAGGCCATTTCCTAACACTTTGTCAACTTTAAGTCAACTTTAAGAA